GTAGCCCCTCTGAGCTGGTCGAACAGGTCGTCGATGCGAGGCAACGGATAACGATTCTTCACTGTGGCTTTGTTCAACTGCCTGTAGTCGATGCAAAGTCTCATGGATCCATCCTTCTTTCGAACAAATAACACCGGTGCTCCCCATGGGGAAACGCTAGGTCGGATGAATCCCTTTTCCAGTAGCTCTTGCAACTGAGCCTTCAACTCCTTCATCTCGGCAGGTGCTATACGATACGGTGTAGCAGATATGGGTTCCGTACCCGGAATGAGATTGATCGAGAACTCTACCTCTCTCGGCGGAGGCAAACCAGGTAGGTCTTCGGGAAAGACATCGGGGAAGTCGCAAACCGTACGGATGTCCTGCTGACGTGGTGATTCTTTTCGCATATTCTGAACGTGACACAGGAACATCTCGCACTTCTTGCGAATCAAGCGCCTCGCGCTCAAGGACGATATGAACTCGGGAGCCTTGGGGAACACCTCCTCGGAGAGTGATACGTCGCTACCGTCCTCGGCTCTCAGCCGTACGGTCTGACAACTGCAGTCGACCACTGCTCTATGCTCGGTGAGCCAATCCATACCAAGGATAATGTCAAACTCCTTGTGTGGTAGCCCTATCAAATCTGCAGGGAATTGCTTCCCTTGCACGGACAACGGACACCTATGATAAATGTGATGAAGACGCATGCTATGTCCTAGCGGATTCGATACAACAATAGGTATCTCAAGGTCACTCCTCACGATCGCAGAATTAGCAGGCATGCCAACACAGATATAGGAGAGCGTGGAACCCGGATCGATCAAGGCATGCATAACCGAATCAAATAGTATGAACGTACCCAAGATAACATCGGGACTAGGATCTGTGCGCCCCTGCATGGCGTAGGTACGCGCTGGTGCACGGCCTGACTGCTGCGGACGTGGTCTCTGCTGATTATTTGCGGCTGTAGACTGCTGACTCTGTGCTGGATGCGATGCGGCAGGCTGATCCGGAGCTCTAGGAAAAACAGGCTCGCTGCTAGGGTTTGTCGGGCAATGCCTCCTGAAATGCCCTGGCTGACCACAACCCAAACATAAGCCTTGGGCGAGCCAACACTCGCCCGGGTGATGCCTACCACACTGTACACACTGCGGGTGGCTCCTCGTTCTGATCGAGTTGCTAGCGGCGGCCAACAGAGACGGCTTCGACTTACTCCTCTTAGGCGGCGGCGCACTCGAAGAACCCTTCTCGTACCTCCTTCCCCCGAATCCAAAACTCTTCCCGCTCAGCCCGGTGCTGGCCGCGGGTCGCGGGTCTTTCGTCGCGCGATTGGCGGCGTTGCAACTCGACGGCGATGATGGCGGACGCCGGTAGGGGAGGCGGCGTACAGTGGCGAGGCGGCTGCGGTGCTAAGGGCGACGGCGGCTGGAGGCGATTGGCGGCGCTGCACTCGACGGCGAGGGAAGACGGCGGTAGTGGAGGCGACGTCCAGCGCTCGGCGTGCCGGCGCTACAACCCGACGGCGGCGGACGACCGATGAAGGAAGCAGCGGCAATTAGCGGCGCTGGACCTGGCAGTGGGGGACGGACTTCCGGCGAGGGAGAGGCTGCGGCGATGGCTGGGGAAGGACGACCGAAATGAAGAAGAAGAAGAAGAAGAAGAAGAAGATAACGATCGTGCGGCTCTCGACGGAAGATAATAGGTTTAGGTTTTATTTATTAATTCCAATACTAGTGGTTTGGGCTCCGGGCCCAAAATACCTGATTAAATGGTCATAACATGAGCTCCATAACTCCGATTCGCGAGCCGTCTGAAGCGACGCGATCACAAAAATATTTCCTACGAAATGACATAAAAGTTGGGCTTAGAATCCAAATTATAATTTTAACTCCTTTTTGGGCCCAATTCGTAATCAATTGCTCTAACAATTTAATTAATTCTTTTGGGCCAGATTTCGGGGCGTTACAACGAGTGTAGTAGCAAATTTGGCCTTGCGAAGATATACCGTGCAGAAATTCACACAAGTGTAATTGTTGGTTCTTTATTTAACAACCAACTACATAGTGGATTTTGAGGACGTAGAAGGATTACCCCACCTTCGAACCTCGTTAAAGTTTGCGTGTCTCTCTCTTTTATCTTTACTCTTACTTGCAATTATATTAACTGTGAAAACTAACTCATCCATATTGATTACTGCTCATACTACCCACCAAATTCTGCACACAATCTAAAGTTCCCAAGAACTCTAGATTTACACTATTTTCACGTTTTCAAAAGAAACGAAAAAGTTTTAAAATTGTAACAAAGTCTATTCACCCCCCCTTTAGACTTTGTATCTCACCACTTTGGGACCACCATAGATCTAATCGGATCAAATGAATTTTGAATTTAATAAGATCAAAACAAACTTTCACATGAATCTATTTACTTGTATATGTTGTGTCCTAATTGTCTGATATAATCTTTAAATGCATCAGATCGGACCTAATCAGATCAAATTAGACAAAAACAGATCTAATTGGATCAAATCAAATTCATGTCCAATACGTCCAGATCAAATCTTCAAAAAGATCTATATACTTCTCTACGTAATGTCCTATTTGCCGAATCTAATCTTTAAATGCATTAGATCACACCTAATTGATTTGATCCACTTAAATCTGTTTTGGTCTAATTTGATCTAATTATATCCAATCTAATGAATTTATAGATTTGATCAGCCAAATTGGAACTGTGCTAGTAAGTATTTTAGTTATTAGTATCGGTATGATGTTATACGGTCAAAAATATGGGTATGTTTTGGAATTGGATCCATGTGAGTAAGAAATTCAATTAACAAAAAAATGTACCCCTAATTTAAAGTGGTACATAAGAGCATTCACAATGGCAAGGCAATGTCTTGCGTTGCCATGCCATGTCAGCAAATTTTACTCAAATCATGGCATTCCACGGCCATTCCACCCCATTTATCATTCCATGTGCAAGGCATGATTTTCTCATTTTTTATTTTTTTTATAAATATTTTTAATATTTGTAATTTTTGAAAAAAATATTTTTTAAAAGAAGTAAACATATTTTAATAATAAAATAGATTTTTAAAATAATTTTTTATATTAAAAATCATTAAAAAGTGCAAAAATAGACAAAAATAATCCATGTCACCGTGTGGCATTTTATTTTTTCCTTGCCATTGTCAACGCGCTAAGAGTGAGAAAATATATGGACCAAAAAAATTTTTTGTTTCAAAAATCAGATTGCTGATTCTAAAAATTTTCAAAGTTAATCTCAAATTTTAGAATCCCTCCAGATTTTTCATTGCCCGCCTAATATGTGCCCCCAATTTTACAATTAGGTCTATCGCCTCCCCCTTTAGAATATTACTTCTCCGATAGAGAATTTCCGTATCTTCTTCAAAATCACAGCCATCTGAACACCGGGCAGTCTCTCGGAACACTGTTCACTACCTTCTTCCATCAATTCTTCCATTGATTGATTGCTCCATTTGATTTGATTTTTGGAACACGAGTACATTTCATGCTGGCGCACATGATAATGAATTCAATTTGGGATTTTGTGAGAAGAAGCTGTGCGAATTGGAAGTCAACGCCCAACTCGTCACTGTTCATCTCCTTTGCTTGAAGATTCGATTTTTGCTTTTTGAAGGCCAATCTGTCATGGCCTCACGATTTGGGTTACCAACCTAAGGTATGAACCGGACTCTTTAATCTATATAAAGTGTCCTTTGATTTGAATAAGTTGGGGATATGCAATCATGGTTCATGGCCAAACTTTGGAACGCGATTAGAACCAGGTCTTTGAATAATTTTTGCGCTATTTTTGTGTGGTTCTTAGAGGTTTTCTTGGTGTTACTTTGTTGAAGGTTGGGGTATTTTCGTATGCCATATACGTTGCTGGAACTTTGCCCGTTTGCTTTCACAAATTTGGGCTGGAAAATGTGTTTTGTTCGCTGGTGTATACCTTGTGCAGTGACTGGAAATGGAAGGTTGTTTAGCCTTGACATTGTGGTCTGTTTGGAAATTGATGGTGGGGAGGGAACTAGTAACTTTGTGTCTTGGTAGTGTAGGCTTGGTGGAAGGACCTTCTTACTTTGGGAGAATGTTTAGGGTTGTTACTGACCCACAAGTGGCTGTGGGCAGCATATGGATTACCTACAATATTTTTTGGTAATGCTTGAGTTGCTCCCCAGATTTTGTAGCTGGTTTGGAGCTTCTATTTTGCACAATTCCGTTTGAAAGTTTCTGTTTTGGATATGAGGGGCTGAAGATTGGAAAACCACTGATCTGACCAAGGAGATCCTGCTGTTTTGGCCTTGGAAAGATGTTTGGCTGCACATGGATGAAAGGAAGTGCTACTGGATTCTGGGCAGTAGCATCCCTTCACCTCACGTATTTTGAGCTGATTTTGTTTTGGAAATTGGAATATGGATTTGGGCAGCGTGGGTGTTGATTCCACCTGTTGGTCCTCAGTTTTACCTCATTCGAGGAGGTAATACCAATTGATTTTGAGCCGAGTTATATGTTTATTTTTGCCAATTGGGTCCGGCTGGCAGGCCGCCCTTTGTCTCTTCTTGACCCTTTCAGTTGGGGTATTTGGAAGAACTTAGGTTATCTCGGCCAACAAGTGGAGCTTGTAGCTGACTGGTTTGCCATCTTCTTTTTGCTTTTTTTTCTTTTATGAGTGAGATTGATTGATTGTATGGGTTCTCAATTCCCTTTGTGTGTAGCGGGACATTACACAGCCTGTCCATATACTTTTTATTTTCTTTCAATAAAAGTGTTTATTTTTTAAAATGATACGTAGTAATTGTTTTAAACAGCGGCTATTTGATTGTTGTCTAAAGTTTCACCCAAAATTATGAAAGTAACGTTAGATGGCGTACACATATATATTGTAGTGAAGGTTATCGTGTCTTGGAACTTTAAAAAAGTTTGAGACTTAATAGCTAAACTACTGTTTAAAGAAAGTATTCTTAATTTATTATAAACAACTCTAACAAAACAATCATATGACATAGAAAATTAGTAATAGAGTACTATATCTGATAATTTTGAAAACAGTTCTACGCTTACTATCCACACTACTCTTTAAAAGAGTTTTCTTATCTAATTCTAGACAATTGTGAAAAAACCTATGTGACACAGGCTACTAGTAATACATTACCGTTTCTCATAACTTCAACAAAAAGTTCTAGGCTTTATAGTTTGACTATTGTTTAAAATTAGTATTCTTAATTTATTATAGACAACTATGGCAACAAAAACAATATTTTGATATGACACAGACAACTACTAATAGATTACCGTTTCTATGAACTTTAAAAATAGTTGTTGGCTAAGTATCTAGACTATTGTTAAGAAAGAGTATTGTATTCTTATTATAAATAATAGTGCCAAAAGTACTATATGACATAGACAACTAGCAATAGATTATTGTTTCTCATTACTTTAAAAACAGTTTTAGACTGAATAACTAGACTACTGTTTAAAATGAGTATTCTTAACTTATTATTGACAATTGTGATAACAAAAACTGTATTTTGATATGACACCGACAACTAATATTAGAATACTGTTTCTCGAAACTTTAAAAATAGTTTTAAGCATAATAGCTAGACTACTACTTTTGTAGCCAACAACAACAAACAGTAGTTTGAATTTTTTTAACTACTGTTTTTCCATAAACAGTAGTTAATCAACAGTCGTCTGACACCTTTTTTGGCGTAGTGTCTGATCATGAATCAGAATGCCTTAGCGCACGTTCGACAACCGGAACCGAGGATCACGCTCGAGAGACTGAAGAAAAATGGTGCCGAAGAATTCCTAGGTGAGAACATCTCCGATCCATTGATTGCGTTTCGATGGCTCGAGCGCGTGAGGCGCGTGTTCGAGAATCTGAAGGTCCCGGATAGAGAATGGGCGAACCTAGCAGTTATCCTTCTTCAGAGTCACGCGTACGAGTGGTGGAAACGCACCACTCGGAACGCGGACCACCCCGCCCAACTAACGTGGGCGTACTTTGAGCAAGTGTTCAAGGAGGAGTATATCGTAGAGTCGTTTGTGGAAGAGAAACGAGAAGAGTTTCTACAGCTCGAGATGGGTACGATGAGTCTTCTTGAGTATCGTCAGATGTTCGACCATCTCGCTGAGTTCGGCCAGGACTTGGTGAACACCACCAAACGTCGTTGCGATAGGTTCGTGAAGGGCATGCGCCCGAAACTTCAGAAGCACATGTCTACTGCATCTAGGCAAGACTTTGGTGTTATGTACGAACAGGCCAAGGAAGTGGTTCGAACTAAATAAGGCGTAAGCCAGAAGAACAACCAACAATCAGCTAAGATAGCTACACATGCAGCTAGCACGAGTAAGACCCTTCCCGGAAAGAGACCTCCAAGTGGATCTGAGCTTCAACTCTCGAAGAAGGCCAACTCATTACCCACTCAATCCGTAGCGTCCACGAGCAAGGGCAAGCAACCAATGTATCCATTGTGTTCCGATTGCAATCGTCATCACTTAGGTGAATGCTGGAAGAAGCTAGGGTTGTGTATGGGATGTGGTGAGTCTGGCCACTTTCAAAGGAATTGCCCGACCAATCCTGGTTTTCCATTCTCTATTGTGCAAGCACCGAGTCATACGGGTAGACCCGCACAGAGCGAGCGTACAACCGCTGCATCTCAACGTCCACAAAGACCACAACAACCTGCTGCACAACAACAAGCTAGAGCTCCAGCTAGGACTTACGCCATGCATGGAAGAATTGATCATAATCCAGACGTCGATTATGGTACGTCCTTATATGCATTGGGGGTATAGATTGCGTTATGAGATCCTAACTTAACTACGTACCGTGAGCGTACCTTCCTGTTTGATTACACGTATGGTTTCGAAAACAGTGACAATGATTTCCTACGATGCCAAGGTATATGCGTGAAATCAATGTCTTTGTCTTTTTCAGCGACAACGATGTAAAGGAATTTTGAGGACGAAATTCTTTTAAGGGGGAGAGAAATGTAACGCCCTGAAAACTGGCTTTGTATTTAGCCGTTATTTTAATAATGAATAAATATACTGTTTATTGACACCAAAATATGAATTATTTGTAAAGTTAACCATTTTAATTAAAAGTTAGGTTTTCAGGTAGATCTCGTAAAATGGTGACCAACGGTATATAGTCTGTTAAGTTTGAACTTTTGTGTAAACTGTGATGAGTAAAATAGACATTTCAGTTCAATAATATAAAATTATAAACAATAATAATAAAGAAAAACGTACTTTTCATAATCCTAATCAAATTGGAGCTTATACCCATTATAAATAGAAGTAGTCCCTTCGTTAGAATCATCTTCCCTTTCTCCTTCTTCTGCCGCGTAACGGAACCGAGCAGACCAGAAGTTCACCCGGAAATCTTTGCCGGAGTTCTACAAGGGTTTAATTCGTCAATCAAGGTGAGTGATTTATCTCTCGTTAAAATTAATTCATAGATTAGGATTCATTAATATGTATTCATTCAATTAAAGTTGAATTTGTAAATATGATTGTTGAAGTTGGGTGAATGATTATGTTGAATTGAATTGGAATTGGAATCGGGTTTAGAATTAGACACTGGGTTTTGTTCTGTTTCTTCCTTGCCTTTGTCCGAACACTACTCCGTTCTTCTGCTCTGGGTTTAAATGCCGCTGTCGCTGCCGAGTAGTTGAGACGTCGTCGGGTCTTCCACCGTCGGGGAGGCTGCTGCCATGTCGGAGGAGTTGCTGCCGCCGGTGGGTCGTCGCTGCCACTTTACTTTGCCCACCTCTTAACTTCTGTTTGTTTAGCCGCTGCTGGGATTGACGCGGCGGATGTGTCTCGCCGGAAACCGTCGCGGGTCGAATGACCGCGAGGAAGGTGGCCGCTGTAACGTTCATCGCTGGACTTTCGCCGCTGCTTCGCCAGATCGGTGCATCGGAGAAGAAGGGAGACTAACGGGTTGTTTGGGGAGTTTATGGATATAGTTTTTGAAATTTATAGATTAGCCCCAAATTTCCAAACTACTTGCAAATCAGCCTTCCATACAATTTGACTTTAAGAGGTAACCCAAATTTATTTAAATATATTAAGAAATAATTGATGATAACTACATTAGTCCCTTTATAATAATAGGTAAATTTGAGTTTAAGTAGACATTGGAAATTTCAATAAAAAGTTGAGTTTAGAAATTAAAGTCATGCGGGTGACGTCGTTTATCCGATGGTCGCCAAAAAGAAATGCTTCTGGCAGAAAGTTTTTGGACATCGATGTTGACCCAGCAACAGCGCTGTCAGGCCAAACTTTCCACCTTCAAAGTCAGACCTAAACAACGATGTTCAAGTAATGAACATCGATGTATGGACGTGACCGTTGGAAGGAATTTAAGGCTAAAACTTTCCTTGTTTGGAAGTCAACAGCCAAAACAGCGATGTAGGGTATTGGACGTCGCTGTTGGCATGACCGTTGCTTCTCATTTTTCAAAACCCAAGCCTAGAACAGCGATGTCCAAGCCTAGGACAGCGCTGTCTGGCTGATTTTCAGCAGATCCCATTTCAATCAAATCCCACAAATCAAGCCAATCACCCCTTAAATGTTTTGACCCGTTGGAGCCTATTTTGGCACTATAAAATGGGGTGTTTGGTTCTGTTTTACACATCACATTACTTCACAACTCCTTTTCTTTCATTGCATATTATTCATACGTTATTTATAGCTTTTCGAGAGCCATTTTTGTGAAGTTCGTGTTGTGATCTTGAGCGTAGTAGTTTACTCATATTCACTCTTTTGAGAGAGTCTTGTTTTTGAGTGTTCTTAGTTTTTATAGACATTAAAGGAAGTTTGTTTCCCTTGGTTGTAGGAAGGAAAGGTACTTTCCTTCGGGTTGAAGTCTTGGAATGCGGTATCTCCGAGCAAGTGTTGTTGAGGCTCGTGGGACTCGAGTTCTCAGGTTGTAACGGTTTTTTAAGCACCCGTAAGCTTAACAGAAGTAGTGTAGCTCGAGAGAGTCTCTCGGGAGGCTGGATTAGCCACAAGTTGTGGTGAACCAGGGTAAATTCGGTGTGCCTTTTACTCTTTTCTCTACTTCTCTTTTATTTGTTTTTAATTCCTGCGATTTCTTGATCAAACGCTATTCACCCCCCTATAGCGTTGGTCTATTATTCTAACAACAATCTCACCAATGCCTTGCATAACTCCACATTCTTCGTGTACGCGCTTGAGGTTGTTATATCTTTCTTCTATCTGGGCATCATTTGTGAAGTGGGAGACAATGGTTCCTACAGCTTCTGTTCCATCAAACTCAGTGTTTGATAGATGTTGGATTGAGTTCTCCGGATTGCTTTGCTGGGCTTCAAGTATCAGCTCCGTCATGTTCAGATGTGATGGAATGTATGAGAGTTCTCCTTGTTTAACTTCAATCGGAAACTTTGGAATTTGAGATGGACTTCTGGGTTGGACAATCACTTCCAGCTTGTGTTTTCCAGTGAAGGTACCAAAGTGTCTGAAGAGTCTGAATGCTTCCTTCTGATTGTCAGCAAGAACTTTTAGATAATCTTGAGTTACCACCTGGTTTGCTGATGACACTGCCAAGGCTGATCTGATATCCATCTGGAGGAGTGACATCTCCTTCTGAAGGTTGATTGTGACTGTGGCAATCTGCTGCTTGATTTCAGTGGCTTCTTTGAATTGAAGGTGGCAGTCAGATGCATAGGCCATCATTGTATTGCTCACAAACTTACTCAATAGAGAAATGATTTCTAGAGTTTTGTCTACGATTTGTTTATCTCATTGAGATTTGAGCAATACTTTTCTTCAGATATCTCCATCAATTTGGTGTGCCTTGCTTCCATCTGCTCTATCTCTTGCCTAAAAGAGGCATGCTGAGACTCTAGGGCTGATTCAATCAACCCTTGGACTTTTCTTGTCCAGGTTTCCGGAATCTCATCTGGATGGGTGGCTGTGGAAGAGCTGTGAAAGTGGAAGTTTGTTACATGTTTTGAAGAAGGTACTCTGTGGAAGAGTTGCAGAGGGAGGGATTCAGCATCATCTCCTTGCTCAACTTCTTCGTCATCAATCTTCAGGGTCTTCACTGACTCTTCTTTTCTCTCTTTATTTGCATAATTTGAGATTTCCCTATAGAGGGAATCTCTGACTTCATCTTCAGCTTGCTGCTCTGGGATAGTTACTGGAGGTTCAGAGGCCTCCAGCCTAGCTATTTGAACTTCTCTTTCAGCTTCTGCAAAACTTCTCTGGACTTCAACTGCTGAGTCTTCCTGAAGAGCTTCATTTGTTTCTGGAGGAGTGCACTTCTCCATATTTTCGTTTGACTCTCCGGAATCTCAAGTTCAGTTGATTTGGAGATCTGACAAGGGGTTGTGAGAATCTCTGGAACTTGAGATTAGAGGAGTTGCTGAAGTTCTTTGTCTGAAATTTCTTGATTCTGTTCTTGCAGGGGAGAGCCTGCATCTTCCTGGACAGCTTCCGGCAGAACAGTTTCAAAAGCAGGGGAGGTTTCTGAAAAAAATTGGAAATCCTCTGCTGTTGCTTTCATGTCAACCTGTGCTCCAGTGGTGAGAGCAGTCTGCTCTTCAGTTGGCTTTGAGAGGATTGGTTTGTAGACTGCTGGGTCCTCAACATCAGCTTCAAACTCTGAACTTGGAGAGGTGGCCAAGAATTCCAGATGCAGATCTCCATAGGTTCTTTGCCACACCCAGTCATCATCCAAAATTTGCTCACAGCAATGGTTGACTGGCAGACACAAGCATCTCTTGATAATCTTTTCATTTTTCAGTCGTTGATCCCTCTCAATCAACTGATCTGCAGAGTTTCCAACTTTCCAAGCTCTCCAATCATAGTAGAGCTGCATGAATTGGCTCACTTCATCACCAGTTTGAGCTTGTAGTGGGGGAGATGGAAAACTCTGATTTTGAGGGATTTCTCCATCCAGCTGTTGAGGGCTCTGGTTGTATGTAGAGTTTTCCTCAACTAGTTCCTTTTCCACCAACTCATCTGGGTTGGCATTTCCAGATGTGGAGGGAGAGGAGATTCTTCTTTTCTTCTTCTTCTAAAGTTCACCAAGAGCAGGAACTTCTTCTTCATCATCCAAATTAACCAAAGCATAATACAACTTGGTGATGAAGGAGGTGGTGGCAGATCCTAACAACCAAACCCTCCTTGAGGATGCTGAAATCAAAAGGAAGCGTGCCAACTTCCTTCTTGATGCTGGGCTTGAATTTTACCAATAGAAAGCCAAGTGTGACTTTCTTTTGAAGTCTGACAGGTGCACTAGTTATTTTCATTCCTCGGTCAAGAAGAATAGGAAGAAGACTGTTGTGGCCTTTTTGATTGAAGAGGATGGTACCAAAACCACCTCTAATGAACAGGTGGTCAAGTGTTTCCTGGATTTCTACACTAATTTGTTTGGGAACACCACCCAAGTGGAGGCCATTTGTACTAATTATCTGGCTGCTGGACCTACTGTCCCCATTTCTGCCCACAGTACTTTGCTTGCCAGCGTGAGTCTTGAGGAGGTGAGGGAGGTGGTCTTTGATATTCGGAATGATAAGGCACCTGGTCCTGATGGGTATACTGCTGCATTTTTCAAAAACCAATGGCCTACTGTTGGGAAGGATGTTTATGATGCTGTTTTAGAATTCTTTACCTTTGGGAAGCTGCTGAAACAAATCAATCATGCTATGATTGTTTTATTACCCAAATCTGCCCATAATCCATCTGTAAAGGACTTTAGACCTATTGCATGCCTAAATGTCCTCTACAAAATTATCACCAAAATCCTTGCTAGGCGTATGGCACCTCTACTGTCTGCCCTAATTGATCCAGCCCTAGGGGCTTTTGTCAAAGGGAGGTCACTTGTGGACAACTTGCTGTTGGCTCAACACCTGATCAGGGATTATGCTATTAAAAGGTGTACCCCTAGTTGCATGATCAAATTGGACATCACTAAGGCCTACAATACAGTTTCTTGGAGCTTCCTCTGGGATGTCTTGGTTGGTCTGGGTTTCCCAACCAGGTTTGCTGGCCTTATTATGGAGTGTGTTTCATCAGCTTCCTCATCCCTTATGATTAATGGAAACTGCCACGGCTTTTTCAACAGCAAGCGTGGTTTGAGACAAGGGGATCCCATGGCACCGACCCTCTTTCTTTTTTGTATTGAGTATTTGTCTAGGGTACTCAATACTAAAGCTAGAGAGGGTGTGTTTAATTATCACAAGGACTGCGTGGAGTTGGGGATTACACACTTGGCTTTTGCTGATGATCTTATGTTGTTTTCTCGGGGTGATTTCCAATCTGTTCAAATTTTTATGGATGCACTTAGCCACTTCTCCAGTGTGTCAGGTTTGAATCTAAATCCAACTAAGTCTAATATCTTCATTGCTGGAAGTATAGGGAAATCAGCCAGGATATTCTAGATATGACATCTTTCCCTCGTGGGCATCTCCCTGTTAGATATTTGGGACTTCCCTTGGCCTCCTAAAGGATTTCTGAAGCTGATTATGCCCCCTTGTTCAAATCTGTGGACGGTTTCCTTTCCAAGTGGGCAACCTTGAAGCTTTCTTATGCTGGGAAACTGGAATTGATTAGGGCTGTGATTCAGGGGGTGCAGTCCTTTTGGCTACAGGCCTTCCCAGTCCAAAAGTACGTTCTGGATCGCATTACAGCTTTATGCCGTAACGTCCTTTGGGGGAGTAAATTTGCTAAAGTGGCTTGGGTTGATGTTTGCGAACCCAAAACAGAGGGGGGGCTGGGCCTTAGAGATGTCGGGAACTGGAATAATGCTATGTTATGCAAGCTTTTTTGGAATCTCGAAGCAAAGAAAGATTCTATTTGGGTCAAGTGTGTCCATTGTGTTTATCTTAAACAGGATGATATTTTGCAGTGGCAACCCAAGAAGAGGCATACTGTCTTCTTTAAAAGGTTAGCCTATGTGCGTGGGCTTTTGATCCAAAAGCTTGGTGATCATATTCCCTCTTTGGAAGTGGCTATGCAAACTCTTTGTATGAGAGGAAACCTTGTTCCGAGTAAGGTTTATGATTTGTTTAGGGTTAAGGCTAATCCCAAGCCTTGGATGTCCTTTATGTGGCATTCAACTATTCCCCCAAAGTGCTCCTTTACGATGTGGCTTGCACTTAGGAGGAGGTTGCCCACTAAAGCTAACTTGGAATTCTTGGGTTTAGCCTTGGATTGTACTCTGTGTGGTCAAGGCCTCGAGGATGTGGATCATCTGTTTTTTCAATGCTCTTTTTCAAGGCAGGTTTGAGCAGCTATTAAGTTATGGCTTGGAATAGAGGGACAGTTGGGGTCACTAGACAGGGCAATCCGATGGCTGAGACCCTTTCGAAGAGGTGGTGCGCTTTTGAAGAAGATGAGGAAACTGGCTTTGGCATGTACGGTATTCCACCTTTAGAAACAACGTAATGCAACTTGTTTTGAACATGAACCTCTACGGGTTGAGGTTGTGATTTGTAAAATCAAAGTCATGGTCTACTCTATCATGGGAAGACTGTGGCCTTTGTACTCCTTTCTGTCCTGATCTTTATGTTTGGTGTGCTTTGTTGTTACTTGGGCCTGCGTGTTGATGTTTGTCAATACCTTGGTTTATGTTTGGTTGGTGTCTGTATGTGTTTTTTTGGCCTGTGTGCTGTGGTTTCGGTTGTGCCGTCGTGGTTGTATGACGAATTGGTGTTGTAGCCAATTTGCTCTATGGTTTTGGCATTTCGCCTATTTTGAGCTCGGGTATGCCCATTCTATTTGTATATTCCTATTCTCATCCTATTTACATTTTTATCTAAAAATTAACCAAAGCAAGATTTTGTGGTGCTTCAGCACTGGGGGAGGGAGACACCACAAGCTTCCTTTTTGATGACTTCTTCAGACTCACAATGAGGACATTGTCTGAAGAGGCTTCATCCTCTGCAGTTGAACTTGCTCTGTTTTCTCCTTTGGAAGACACATAGTAGAGCCAATATCTGGAATCATACTTCTTGCCTTCAGAGGCAACGCCCATGGACTCCAAAATGTACCCAAGGTACAGTCCTTGACACAAATATTTCTGTTTGAGCTTTCCTAAGTGTTTGGAAATGGAATTGAAGAAGTGTTTAGCCCAATTTACCTTGGTTCTGGAAATGAGGGCGTTGATTATGAATGCCCTTTCTTGAGTGATGTCATCAGCATGTCCTCCGCTTCCACATTCAAGGCATGCAATGACTAGCTCCATAACCAATTTGTAGTCGTTCTTCAAATCGGCTTTCTTTGCTGAGCCAGAGGGGATTTGCCAAGAAATTCCAATAGTTTTCCAGTCCAGATTCTTGGACGAGAGCTTCCCAATTTCAATTCCAGAGTTGGGAAGATGGAGCTTCTTCTGCATCCTTTTCAGTGAGATCTTCACTTTCATGCCTCCAACAGTTGATTTGATGAGCTGAATCGATCTTTCTGGATTCTCCTTTGATTTGACAGTCTTGATTTCTCCATTTCTGTAGAATTCCAAAACTTCTTCTTCATATTTGAATCTGGTTTCCAGATGAAGGAATTCGGAGAGTTCCTGTGCATCAATCATCTCCAAGTAAGTTTGATAGAACGTCGGTGAAGAGCATTTGGCTTCCAATTTCTTAAAGTGAACATTCGCGCCTCCAACCTTCATTTTCGTTGAATTTTGGGTGAAAGAATCTGAAGAAATTACGGTTCTTGAGAATTCTATCAGAGAATTCTTGTAAAGAAGACGACGAAAATTTGAGTGGGCTGAGTTGGCAGTTGAGATCTGAATATAGTGGCGATTGAGTTTAATTTTGGGCGATTTATGCGGCTAGTGACGATTGGGTTTTCAACTGTTCCCAAGGCCACGTGCCTACCCAATACTTCAATAGACGTGGAAGGTGGACTGCCACGTGTACCACACTCAGTCTAATTGAATTAGACCAATTTTGTGAAGTAAGTCGGAAAACTTGGCTTCACTTATTGGTTTTGTGAAGATATCCGCCAATTGTTCTTCAGTTGAAATGTACTCAATTTTGATATCTTTCTTTTCCACATGATCTCTGATGAAATGATGCTTGACATCAATGTGCTTAGTGCGAGAATGATGCACTGGTTTTTGTGAGATAGCTATAGCACTTTGATTGTCACAAAAGATTGTCACTTCCTTTGTTTTGACTCCATAATCCAGTAGTTGTTGCTTTAGCCACAAGATTTGAGCACAACAACTACCAGCAGCAATGTACTCTGCTTCTGCTGTTGATGTAGAGATGGAGTTCTATTTCTTACTGAACCAAGAAATAAGATTTCCACCAATGAATTGACACGTACCAGATGTACTCTTCTGGTCAACATTGCATCCGGCAAAGTCAGAATCTGAGTATCCAACTAACTCAAATGAATTGCTCTTAACATACCATAGACCCATATTCTGAGTTCCTTTGAGACAATGTATCATACCAAGCTCTTGGTGCTTGTTTTAGTCCATATAGCGCCTTTTTGAGTCTGTACACTTGATCACCTTTAGTGTGTAACTCAAATCCTGGAGGTTGTTCCACGTAAACTTCTTTCTCTAGATTTCCGTTGAGAAATGCACTTTTGACATCCATTTGATAGACTTTGAAGTCCTTATAAGCAGCAAAGGCTAGAAACAGCCTTATAGCTTCAAGTCTAGCAACTGGAGCGAAGGTTTCATCAAAATCTATTCTTTCTTCTTGACAATAACCTTTGGCAACCAATTGGGCTTCGTTTTTGACAACAACGCCGTTTTCATCCATCTTGTTCCGGAAGACCCACTTTGTCCCAATGACATGTTGATGATTAGGTCTGGGAACAAGTTTCCAGACGTCATTTCTGGTAAATTGGTTGAGTTCTTCTTGCATTGCATTGATCCAATCAGAATCAGCTAGAGCTTCTTCAATGCTTTTTGGTTCCACTTGTGAAATGAAACAAGCAAGCATGGCTTCTAGATTCTGTTGAGCACTCCTTGTGCGAATTCCTGATTGAATATCTCCAATAACTTGTTGAGGATGATGATCCCTTAACCAACGAAGATTGTGTTGATTACGGTTGACTGGTTGATCTGGTTGAGCTTCTGGTTGAAAAACAGAGTTTGTTGGTGATTCCGGATGGATTGACACTGGGTCACCATTTCCGGAATTGTCACCATTGGAGTGATCCGGAATAATGGAAGGTTGGCCATGATTTCCGGTAGGCTCAGCACCGTCTGAATCCGGATTTCTTTGTGAAGTCTTCAGTGGTAGACTTTTGAATGGAATGAACTCCGTAGGCTTCATTCTATCTCCTTCATTGATCTCTTCATCCTTGTCTGAGAGATCCAGAACCTCATGATCATGCTTTGATGGCTTGTCAACCACATGTTTTTCATCAAAAATAACATGTATTGGCTCTTCAGTGATCATGGTTCTTTTGTTGAAGACTCTGAACGCCTTGCTCACCATAGAATATCCTAGGAAGATGGCCTCATTTGATTTCTCATCAAAGGTGTTCAGATGATTCTTCCCGTTGTTTAACACAAAACACTTGCTCCCAAAAATATGGAAATATGATATATTCGTCTTTCTCCCATTCCACAGTTCATAGGGAGTTTTGTTGTGCCTTTTATAAATCATACTCCTATTTTGAGTATAGCAAGCTGTGTTAACAGCTTCAGCCCAGAACCTTTTTGGCAAGAAAGCTTCTGCTAACATAGTCCTTACTGTTTTCTTCAAGGTTCTCTTTCTTCTTTCTGCTACACCATTCTGTTGAGGCGTCCTTGCTACGGATGTCTGATGAAGAATTCCGTTTTCTTCATAGTAATGAATGATGATTTCATTCAGGAATTCTGTGCCTTTGTCAGATCTGATCTTCTGGATGGTCTGACTTCCTTGGTTTTGAATCAACTTCATGCAGTTTGTGAGCTTTCCTTGAGTTTCCTTCTTGCTGTTGAGGAAGATTGTCCACGTGTATCTTGAGTAGTCATCAACTACCACCAGGACATATTTCTTTCCACTTAGACTTATTGGAGTAGCAGGGCCAAATAAGTCCATGTGAACAAGACTTAATATCCTTGTAGTTGAGGGTGCCGGTTTTGCTTTGAAAGTGGACTTGACTTGCTTTCATTTCTGGCAAGCATCACAAATGCTTTCCTTCCTGAATACAGCATTGGGAAGGCCTTCTACTAACCCTTCTTTGGACAGCTTGCTGAGAGTTTTGAAGTTGAGATGACTCAACCTCTTATGCCAAAGCCATAGAAGGTTAGTGTCAGCTTTGCTAATTAGGCAAGCTTCCTTGACATCATCCCACATTACTTCATAGATGTTTCTGATTCTCTTCCCAGTGAGAATGACTTCACTTGTGGAGATGTTCTTGAGAGATGCCATGTCCTTGCAGAATTCCAAGGAGTAACCTTTATCACAAAACTGACTTATGCTAAGAAGGTTATAATTGAGACCTTCAACATAAGATACAGCTTGGATGATTAGTCCTTTGTACACCAGATTTCCTAGCCCTTTAGTAAGGCCAAAATCATTGCTTCCTCCAAAAATAACTCTTGGACCATCATAGGGAATTAGATTGTTCAAGAGGCTCGCATCACCTGTCATGTGTCTTGAACAGCCAGTGTCTAAGTACCAGACACCTGGGTACTTAGCGGCTTCCTGCATTAGGAGGAGGAAGATTTTGGTACCCAATTCAGTTTGGGTCCGGAATAGTTAATGGTGTGTGTCCCTACATCAAGTTTGAAGTTGCAGGGAATTTTCCTTGCAGCCCTAAACTTGTTGGGATTGTAATCATAATTGTATGCATAAAATTTCCTACGAGCAGGTGGTGCAATTTCCTGTTTCCACCTAGAAAACCTAGGTTGATAAGACCTATAGTTTTGTCTAGGTTGTGCATAGTGTGGCCTGTGCCGGTTGTAAGCTTACTTAGGTGGAACAAACAGTTTTTGAGGTGGAGGATGACTATATTTTGGCATAGTTCTCAACTCAAAATTTCTTGGAAAACTCCTATCTACCCCATAATGAGTATAGCCTCGCGTATAGTGGGGGTTAGAAGGTTTTCTTCTGAAATTATTTCCTCTTTGAGGTCTGTCCAGCTTCCTATGGTTCTTAGGAGGGACTACCCTTTTGGGAACTTCTGTGGGTTTCTCCTTTTCCTTTTCCTTTCTCCTTATTGGGTTTGGCAGTAGGTTTAGGAGGGATGAAATTTGTTCTCACTTTCCTTTTGGAACTGGAGGGGTCAAACCCAAGTCCTTCACGACCCTTTTGTTTGGTCGCTTCGAGAAGCTTATCCACTGCTTCTTTGGATTTAAGTATCCCTAGCTCTTTGTCGAGGGATTTCACCTTTTCAGAGACAGATTTATTTTCAGTCTTGAGTTGAGTGATCTCATCTAGTTGACTTTTTCGACCTTCAGTCAACTTGAGATTCTCTTCACTCAATATCTTTTTCTCCTCTGTTAAGGATGAGTGTTTGAGATTTATTTCCTCAAAATCTTTCATCATCTTTTTGAACATGTCAAAAAGACTTTCAGAAGTTAGTATGCTTTCATAAGAAGATGAACAGGAGGTTTGTGAAGTTACCTCTTGATCAACATCATCTTTGGCCATTAGGCAGAGGGTGTCATCTTTTGACATAGTCCACCAATCCTCATGGTTGGACTTCTCAGCTCTGCGCTCCATGCATACGAGGGCTTCTTCATCTGAGCTTGAGCTGGATGACTCGTCACTTTCAGCGCAACCATTGATTTCTTCTTCTTTTCGTTCCTTTTTCTTTCTCCGTACTTCTCCTCCTTTGGGTACGGACACGCTGACTTCCAATGACCAGGTTTCTTGCAGTTATAACACAAATAAGATTCAGGAGGGGAGTCACTTACCTGTGGCTTTCCCTTGGATGGCCTTCTGACTGAGTCAGCTTTCTTGAAGAATTTCTTGAACTTCCGGAATTGTTTGACCATCATGGCAAATTCCTCAACATAGTTCTCCATTTTTGAGCTTGTCGGCTAGCTGGACGAAGGTGTGTCACAGTTCCTTGGGCATGTCCCTTCACTCGGTGGGACTCTAGGGGTTGCCATCAATGCCGTGGGGAAGGGAGTGACTTGTTCTTCCTTCACAAAACTGACTTATGCTAAGAAGGTTATAGTTGAGACCTTCCACATAAGACCTTCCAAAGTCATTGCTTCCTCCAAAAGTAACTCTTGGACCATCATAGGGAATTAGATTGCTCAAAAGGCTCGCATCACCCGTCATGTGTTTTGAACAGCCACCATCTAAGTACCAGACACCTGGGTACTTAGTGGCTTCCTGCATTAGAAGGAGGAAGGTTTTGGTACCCAATTAAGTTTGGGTCCAGAATAGTTAATGGTGTGTGTCCCTACATCAAGTTTGAAGTTGCAGGGAATTTTCCCTGCAGCCCTAAACTTGTTGGGGTTGTAGTCATAGTTGTAGGCATAAAACTTCCTAAGGTGGTGCAATTTCTTGTTTCCTCATAGCAAACCTAGGTTGATAAGACCTATAGTTTTGTCTAGGTTGTGCATAGTGTGGCCTGTGTCGGTTGTAAGCATACTTAGGTGGAACAAATAGTTTCTGGGGTGGAGGAGTTTAGTCGGTTTAGACGTTGTGCCCACGCCTTAGAGGGGGGTGAATAAGGCGTTTAAAATCTTTTCGGAGTTTGATAAAAACGGTGTTGGCAAATGCAGAAGCAATATATAAAACGCAGAAATAAAAGCGTAAAGTAAAATGCACACCGAATTTATACTGGTTCGGGAAACCCCTACTCCAGTACCTCGAGGCTCCTCCTCAAGGATTTCCGAATCCACTAAGTCCCGGCCTCTTGAACTCCGTCAAAGCACCGCACTAGTTTTGGCAAACAACCCTTGCCAATAGGATTCACTCCGAGATTTCACAACGGCTATCTCGAACCGTTTACAACGAAGATTTAACGGCTATCTTCTACCGTTCCCCCAAGGATTTCAAAGGCTATCCTTGAACCTTTACCTAAGGATTTATACAGCTATCCTTGACCGTTACAACGTGAGAATTTAACGGCTATTCTCGACCGTAACAAGGTGTGTTTGAAGAACACAAAAGAGGATTATACACAACGGCTAGAATATAAAAATGAAGAACAAAACTTAGCCGGTGTAGAAAGAAAGTATACTCTCTCAAAAATACAATTCAAACTTATGAATATGAGAGTATATAACTAGAAACACAAGCTCAAAGTGTGTTTATAAAAATTAGGAATTTAAGGCTCTTAAAATAGCAAAAAATATTGAAAATAATTAATAGAAGGATGAACACACTTGGAATAAAAAGAGAGGATGTTTAGAGCTTTTTTTCTTGAAAAAATATGAAGGATTAGGCTTGTATTTATAGTGGAATATGTTAATTAGCCATTGGGAGGTGATTAGGATTGATTAAATTCAAAATCACAAATCAGGAACAGTAATCCAACGGTCACGGTAGGGGGGTCCCGTCCATACGGTAGGGGGGTCCCGTGCTTACGGTAGCTAGGTACCTTCTCAGGCCAAAACTCTCTGGCGGTACCTATCTTAGTACGGTACCCCTTACGGTAGGGGGTCCCGTCCAGACAGTAGGGGGTCCCGTGCTACAGTCCTGCGTTTTTCAAAATATCCTTAATCCTTCGTGTTTGAGTTTAAAACCTTTTAGATGTTTGAAAATGTTTACGGGGTGGTTTTAAACATATTTTGTGAGTGCTTTTGAGCTTGTGAATATAAGTATATAAAGTCATATCCTAACATTGGCTTCTACCTATATTCTACGCTAGTTTAGTGTTTCGACTTCATTCTTAAGTACCGAATCTTAATGGACTCTTGTTTTTCCTGAAACACTTAAACAAATGTTAAGTTCTTATATTGTTTGTTAACATCAAAACATGAGGCTTAGCAAACTAAGGCTAAGAGAGGATGACTATATCTTGGCATAGTTCTCCACTCAGAATTTCTCGGAAAACTCCTATCCACCCCATAATGAGTATAGCCTCGTGTATAGTGGGGGTTAGAAGGTTTTCTTCTAAAATTGTTTCCTTTTTGAGGTGTGTCCATCTCCCTATAGTTCTTAGGAGGGAATACCTTTTTGGGAACATCTGTGGGTTTTCCTTCTCCTTTCCTTTCTGCTTATTGGGTTTGGCAGTAGGTTTGGGAGGGATAAAAGTTGTTTTCCCTTTCTTTTTGGAACTGGAGGGGTCAAAACTAAGTCCTTCACGACCCTTATGTTTGGTCGTTTCAAGAAGCTTATCCACTGCTTCTTTAGACTTCAGTATCCCTAGCTCCTTGTTGAGGGATTTCACCTTTTCAGAAAGAGATTCATTCTCAGCCTTGAGTTGAGTGATCTCACTTAGTTGAGTTTTCCGACTTTCAGTCAACTTGAGATTGTTAGAATAAGTGACCAACGCTAGAGGGGGGGTGAATAGCGTTTGATCGTAGAAATCGCAGGAATAAAAAAATTAAGAACGTGAAAAGTAAAGAGCGTAGAAAGCGTAAAGGGAGCACACCAAGATTTATACTGGTTCACCACAACGTGTGGCTAATCCAGTCTCCCGAGAGACTCTCTCGAGCTACACTACTTCCGTTAAGCTTACGGGTGCTTAACAAACCGTTACAACCTGAGAACTCGAGTCCCACGAGCCTCAACAACCTTGCTTGGAGATACCGCACTCCAAGACTTCAACCCGAAGGAAAATATCTTTCCTTCGTACTACCAAGGGAAACAAGCTTCCCTTAACGTGTATAAAACACTAAGACACTCAAGAACAAGACTCTCCTTAAGAGTGGATATGAGTAAAATATATACGCTCAAGAACAACTCAAACTTCACACAAATTGGCTCTAGAAAGCTATGAAAATGATGTTATTTGAATGCAATGAAAGTATGAATATTGTGAAGTGAATTGGTGATAAAAGCAGACCCAAACACCCCTTTTTATAGTGCAAAATTAGGCTCCAACGGACCAATGCATTAAAGGAGTGATTAGCTTGATTTATGGGATTGAAAAGATTTGGGATCTGCAGAATATTGGCTTCCCATCGATGTTTAGAATCAA